AAATATGTTTTACATGAGTGTGTGTGTGTTTATGTGTGTATATAAAAATAAAAAACCTATATCAAATTGCTTTCCATCTTAGGGAGGAGGTAGTTGAAGGAAAGGAGAAAATTTGGAACTCAAAAATTTTTAAAAATAAACATTAAAATTGTCTTTATATGGAACTGGAAAAAAAATACTATTAAAAATAAATAAATAAACTCCACAGCACAGTGGAGCATCTACCATAGTGCAAAGCACCTGGTAAGCACTCAAGAAATAACTCACGTGTAAATAACACTTAAATCTCTGCAGAGCACTTCACATATATTACCTCATTTGATCTTTACAACAACCCTGAGATAAAGACTATTGTTATCCCCACATAACAGATAAGGAAAGTGAGGCTCAGAAAGGCCTTGATCCAGGATCACACCGCTAGTCTGAGGTAACTCAGTCCTCTGGACTCTTAATCCAAGACTATCTACTATGCTAGGCTTTTTAACTTGCCTGTTGATTAATCTCAGTTGAATGAAAACCTATTTTATCCCACACATGGATTAGTTTACCTTACTCTGAGGCTGGGAGCTATTAATCAGCTATTTCCTATAGATGCTATAATGAATAACTTCCTCCAACTCTACAGACAGAAGGGATGAGCCAGGGGACCTAGGGGTTCTGAAGTATCCACCTGGTTCAGTGAGACCCATCCAGTGGGACAAACTTGAGGGCAGCCAGGAATCTAGCTGATGGCCAAAAAGAAAACTATACTTTTCATTCTTTTCTAGGAAGAGAAGGAACAAAGGGGGGTGGGGGTGGGTGGGAAGGTGGGTATTCTAATATGATGAAAATTCCCTTTCCTAAATATATGTGGGTTTCTCTGGATGATGCAAAAAGAACCTTAGCAAGGCAAATGTGTGAACCATGCTAGAATGAATTGAATATGGACTACTGAGAGTACATAGGATAGAGACCTGGATATGTGATTGTGGTTGAGGGGATAGACATAAAAAGATACAGAAGCAATGTTCAGAAAGAAGTTCAGAAAGCATGAGAAAGTGAAGAGAAAACAGCATTATGATTTGGTGTAAGTCTTAGGCTGCTAAGGCATCAAGGAGGGGTAAATGAAATAGAAAGGGCTTGAAAGCAGCAGGGTCACTTAGGGACTTGGCCTAGCTGACCAAAAATGCCATAAAAAGACGTGACTTGATATAGCGGGGCAGGGTGCAATCCAGAAGAGGGCAGAACCAGTCATTTGGGAGTACAAGTAGATTCAGAGTTTCCACTTGGAACCTGGAGGCAACAAGGATAAACTGATTCCTAGGAGGAGCATGGCTAAGAGCGAACTTCTAACCCTTGCAGTGAAACCTAGAAGGAAGGACACAAGCGTTTATTAAGCACCTATCATGTGCCAGGGACAAATATTATTTCATTTGATCATCACAACAACCCTGGGAGATAGATGCTATTATTATCCTCATTTTGCAGTTGAGCAAATTGAGGTAAATGGAAGTTATGTGACTTGCTCAGGGTAACAACTAATAAGTGTTTGTGGCTGGATTTGAATTCAAGTCTTCCTGAGCTCTATTCACTAAGCCAACAAGCTGCACCTAGAGTAGCTGTTTAAGCTAGTTCAAGTGATAAAACCTGTAACTTGCATACAGACCATTTTTAAACCCTAAATGGCTGTGTGTTGTGCTGAAGACATGACGAAGGGAAGAAGGAAAGAAAAAAAAATTGGAGAAAGGCTACAGTACCAAGGGCAGGGTCATGGAAGAAGATGATACCTATTCCTTTGTGTAAAGATGGGATGAAATTACCATCAGTGAAAAGCAGGGGAAGCCGTCTCACTGGGGTTTGTCCATACCTGGCACTGTGGGAAATTGTCTTGCCCATTCTGGCAGTCACCCTACCCTAGCGACCTGGCCCTGTGGGTCTTTTGTATCCAGTACCTTTCACTAGAGAAGCTAAATAGGTGTTAATGTCTACTATTCTCTTATTCTTTTTACTGACTCCCAGATGAGATCTAGCTAGCATTCATTTATCAAAAATAGGATCTTACACTGGATCATCCCCAGGGTTCTCAAAGCACTGTGTAAACTTTAATGATCAAATGGTCACGCCTTAGGGGAGAAGTTGGGGCGTAGGAGATAAATTCTCTGGAGAGTCATCCTCCCTCTCACTGCCCCCAACACCTGGTCATGCCCAGCTCCTTGCCACTCAGCTCCTCCCCAGGAAATCACAGTTTCCATGGGAACCTACACACTTCAAAGGGGAAAGAAGGAGACTGGAAGAGAGAGAAGAGAGGAAGCCAGATTCACCTCACCTTCTTTGCCCCCCTCACCAAGCAGCCAGCAATCTAATTTGTATGTGCCAGCTAGCGCTTGACATGCTCTGGGCACTGGATCAACATCACCCATGACCACAAGGGAAGAGGGAGAACGGGCAGGCCATGCTGTGTGTTTTCACCTGTTTGGGAAAAACCTTGAGGTGTAGAGTTTCAGGGAAGGATGTAGAGGAGGCCCCTCAGCTAGGTCCAAACCTGTAGCAACCCACCCTGCTGGGCTTCCTCTCCCTCAGGCCACCCCCTACCTCACTTGGGGGCCTATAAATGCAATTAGCCTCAACGTGCATCCAATCATCAGATCCGCTCAGATTATATTGCAATCATTAATCTGAGCTGGGGAGCTCCTTGTGTTGCCTTGCTGATTAGCCTCGATGATGCTCTGGTATGATCCAATTAAAGGAGGCCCCTGCTTTCCCTCCCTTCCCCACCCCCACCTCCAATCTGCACCTCCTCCAGTTTCTCTGTCAGAGGGGAAGCAATTCATTCCATTTCTGATACCCAAATAAAACCTTCCTGCTACCACACATACGCTGTATATACATGCACATATCCACCCACTTTTGTCAGCACTCCTCCTCCTGCCTCCCTCCTTCCCAGAGCCAGAAAGGGGGAAGGGGGACTGGCAGATGCAAGCAGGAAGGCTCAGCTGACTTTTCTTCATCTGAGGCTCTGGGATACGTAGGGAGAGAGGCACAAAAGCCAGTGCCCAGGCACTAATATGAATTGAAAGGGTCTTGTTACATTTATTGACATGAAATGCTGACTCCCCAATGTGGTTTGAAGCAGTCATGCTTCCTGGAGGCAGGCAAATCTAATTAAAATTACCCTGAGCTCCTAGCCCTTCCAGGAGTGCTGGACTGCACTCCCAGCTAACCCTTCCCATCAGTCGCACTCGATGGCTGCAGAAAGAGAAGTCAAGTTTTAATAGAAGCAGGGAGGAGTCGAGATAGAGTCCTCTGGGTTAACTAACTATAGTGGGAAGCCAGAGGCAGGAAGGGCAAGAGCAGACAAAATGGACTGTGGTGGTATAGGGGCAGCTGCTACCAGAGAGTGCTGATTGTTTCCATGTAGTTATAAACATTACAGTAAGCACTTACTATATGTCAGGCTCCATGCTAGGCACTGACGATGCTTTCTAGAACCTAGAGGTGTCCCCAAAATGAAAACATGCTTTATTCTCTAGGAGTTTATATTCTACGATATAGCATGGAAGTGCAATGGGAGGCTATGCCAGGAGATGGAAAGTACCACCATAGGGTCTAACGCTCCCACAGGGTATTTCCTAGAATCAGAGAATCTCAGAGCTGGAAGCTATCATGTCCAGCTGACTGGAATAGGAATCTCCTCTATAACATTCCCAACAAGGAACCATTCAGTTTCTTCTCAAAGACCTCTAGGAATGGGAAGGGGAGCCTAATCATTTCTGGAATCAGCCCTTTCCATTTTTGGAATGGGTTCTAATTATGGGGATATTTTCCCATTATATCGAGCTGAAAAAGTGGCACTTTGCAATTTCCACCCATGATTCCTCGTTCTAGCTTTTCAGTTAAGTAAGATATATCTAATCCTGCTACCTAGTAACAGCAGATGCAGTTGTTTGAAGATAGCTACCCTATCTTTCCCTAAGTCTTTTCTTCTTCACACTAAATATTCCCAGTTCCCTCCAATTGTTCCTCATATAGCATGGTCTCCAGTCATTTCACCATCCCAATCCTCCTCTTGAAAGTGGACTCTAGTTTATCATTGTCTTTTCTAAAATATGCAATGGCCTATGGAAGAGCCTGCACTTTCTCTGGTCATGGAGGTAGAGGTGAGGGGTGGGGAAGAGAAAGAAGATAAGAAGAGAGTAGGAGTGGTAGAAGAGCTTTGCTTCCACAGGTTATATAACAGTGGGAGACAGCCGGGGGGATTTAATACATGTACTATGGTACTGTGTCTCTTTTTGGAGAGGAAGGAGGGAAGAACATTGAGCTCTTAACTATGTGCCAAGTTCTCCGGTACAATTTGAGCTGATTAGAGCTAAACTGCCCAAAGGGTAATGGTGGAGGGAGGGTTGAAAAAGGATTCTTGCTGGGGGGATATAGCATAGATCTCCAACTTTCTTAATAAAAACCTCCTGGGGCACCAGAGGCAGCCCCAGGCTGCGCTGCCTTAGGGGATAATTAGTTTGAATCAGCTTTGGTCCACTCTTCCTTGCCTCTGAAGGACTTCCCAAACCTCCTTTAAATCTTCTAAGAGTTGAGAAAGATGGAAAAGCAGCTCTTCTCCATCTCCATGTTGCTCAGAACAACAAAGGATGGACTAAGATAGGAATGAGAATAGAATAGTATACAGGTAGGATAGGTATCAGGAAGAATTTTCCCAAAGGTTAATGTAAAACACAGGAAGGGAGACCAAGTGAAACTGTAATTGCCTCATTTCTCAAAAGCTAATCTAATGAGCGGGATTTGAGAAATTTCAGACTAGTGATAGGGGGATAAACTTGAGATGCTCTTTAAAAGGCCAAACTAACCCAGGAAGTCTGTGAATCTAAAGAAGGAAGAAAGAAAATGTAGTCCTCACCTCAATGGCACTCTCCCTGCAATGGCCACCATCCCCATCTCTGAGGATCTGTGGTTAGACCTCCTAATAAAGCAGGATCTCTGGAAGACTAGGGAATTGCAGTGTCTCTTACCTATACACAGCACGCTTGTCAGCCTCCAGCTGAGCCTGGGGGTCAATGGGGGCACTGGGAACCGGGGTGCTGGCAGCAGCTGAAGGCGCTGAGATATGGACGGCCTGAGCCTTGGTGGGTGGCTGGGTGGTTGCCGTCATCTGTGGAGAAAAGAATGGCAGGGGAAGAGGAAAGGAAGTTAATACGTTTAAGATAGCTGGCCCCCTCACAGATAAAGTTTGGAGGGAGTGTGTCCATTCTGATCTGCAAAAAAGAGATGCTATATAGGAACATGGAATAGGTTATGAGTAAAATAATATATATGTAAATGGTTTAATTTACACTATAGTAGGAAAAGCACTGGATTTGTACTCAGGACAATTGGGTTAAAAATCCCAACTCTGACACTTTCTAGCTAAATGTCCCTTGGGCAAGTCACTCAAACCTCAAGTCACTGGAGCCTAACCATAAAATGCAGATGTAAAACTTGTTCTATCTACATCACCAAAGCTGTTGGGAGCAAAACATTTTATAAATATTAAAGTGCTATATAAATGAATTATGATTGTTATCATCACCATCACCATCATCATCATTATATGTTTACATACACACACACACACAGAAACCTATCCATTTTCAACAAGGTAGGTCTATCCTTGAATAGACAAATAGCACCTATTCAAGTAGTGGATAATTATTTAGACTTAATCACAACTGACTGAAGAAGCAAATGCAGTTTGTAAAAACGTGATTTGTAATTTGTATTATCACTCCTAAATAAAGCTAAGTAGAATAAAGTAACGAACCTTTTTGGAAAGGCAGAGAGGCATTCAGGGTACAACAGAATGAGTAGCAGCTAGACTCAGAGCCAGGGGTGCCTGGCTCTGACCCTTACCAGATCTGTGATTCAGAAGAACAAATCATTGACCCTCCCCGAGCTCATTCCCTCATCTGCAAAATATTGATAATAGTGTCTACATCCCAAGGTTGTTACCAGGCAGAAGTGAGCTAATCCACGTAAAGAGTTTTTGCAAATTTTAGAGCTCTTATATATGTCCTATTTTGTTTTGTTTTTTAAAAGGCACTTGTGAAACATTCAGGTCTTAAGACTTCAGCTATAGTCACTTTGAAAACCAAGGAAATGAAGCTGAAGTTGTTCCCATTTGAGTAAGAGCTTATTTATTCTGTTGCTTCAAGTCAGAGTTAAAAGTTCTAATTGTTTTAATTGCCCCTAAATGATTCTACAACTACAAGAAGAATTCATATAGTCATTTGAAGAGATGTAGGTCTTATTGGAAAATAAGCAATTTTTTTGGGAATATGATCACATAACCAGTACAAGCCAATGCTTCACATTTTTCTTCACATTACTTTAGCACACTTTCTATAGAACGGATCCCTCTGATTATGCATGTGAGGGCAACTGCGAGAATCATTGTTCTTCGTGAGGCAGCTAGGTGGAATAGTGAATAGGGTGCTATACTTAAAGTCAGAAAGACTTGGCTTCAAATCCTACCAAAATACAGACCAGCTGTGACATTGGATAAGTCACTTAATCTCACTGAATCTCAGCTTTTTCATTTGTAAAATGAGAGGGTTGGACTAAATGACCTTTAAGTTTCCTTCTAGCTCGAAATCTATGACCTGGTGAACTTCTCAGCCTCAAGTTTCCTCATCTGTAACATAGAGATAATAGAAAAATCATGTGATTGTTGTGAGGACCAAATCAAATAGGATAATTTATGTGAAGTGCTCTACCAGCTTTAAAGCAGTATATAAATGTTAACTACTAAAAATATCATAGATTCTAGATTTAGGAAAATATACTTCAAGAAATCATGTGGTCCAGTGCTTGCTTTCACTTGGGAATTGAAGTGTATATTCAGATGAGCCCAAATCCACTATTCCTAGCGCAGGGAGGATGGATGAAGGATGAGCGTATAAAAGGTATTTGTCCACTATGTCATCTCTATCACAAGCAATGTTATGCACAGAGATAGAAGGGAAAACACAGCGTTGGCTGATTGGATATATCCGTCATTTTTATTAGAGAAAAGAGGGTGACACAGATATCATCATCACTGTAGGTTAGGCAATCTGCATAGTCCTTTACTGTGGTTTGGGCTCTGTTACCAATCAAACACTGAGACATCATAATCAGCTCCTACCACCTTCACTGGACATGTCCAAAAAGCACCTTTCTACCTCTAACATTTTGGAATCAAGAGTAGAAGGGTCAGAATAAACCCTACCAGGTAGTGGCAGACCAAACTGACAAGTTCCTCCCAAAGCTGATTCATCCCATGCAAGAAATCCAGCAAGAAAGACAAACTTGGGTACCTCCCACAGTCTCTACTGCTGGGAGAAACATGGCCCCCAAACAAGAAAAACTCATGGGGTTCAACAAACTGGAATTGATGAGGGTTGAACCCAAGAGGGCTGACTGGAGGTGCCAGCCCTTTACCTGTATTAATTTTACTACCTGGTCACTCCCCACAGCTACAACAGAGGGTATGATAGCCCCACAGGAGGAGAGGCAAGCCCGAGGTTCAGTGGCTAAGACTGAATACAGCATAGGAAAAAACAAAACAAAAAACTTTATGGAAACCAGTCAATCTTTCCCTGGCAAGGGAATAAAGCCAATTACCTCAGTTTTTATTAACCATTGGCCTAGACTCATTTGTACCACCTGACACAATAGTGATGTGTCCCAAGAGAGTGGGCAAGCAACTATAAGGCATAAGCTGTCTTAAGAAAACCCAAAGTGTAAAAATCCATGTTCACCAAACAGAAATGGGAGTGGGAGTGAGGGGAGGGGTGTCGGAGGAAAAAAAGGAATGATCTGATTTCCTCAAGCAAGAAATCTGCTTTATGGAAGTGAACTCCACTTAAAATGTGCTCCTAATTCTAAAACTGTACAATTAGGCACAACTTCAGGATTTCAGCAATGAGGACTACTTCTTTCCCAAAGTAAAGGATTCTGGTTACTACAGGGTCTTTAATATGAAATACGAATTGGGCAGGTAACTCCTTTTAAGCCATCCAGGCTTGAGTAGCTTTTAGCCCCTTCTCCAGTGACCTTGAGGGTCACAGGGAGTAACTATCAGAGAGATCATGAATCGGGTTCCTCTTTCACTTATACTGCCCCACAGGAGTGGGAGGGCCAGATCTGGGATTAAAAAGGAAAACTTGGAATAAAATGTAAATCAAAGCTGGTCATTTTCCTGCATCCCAATAGACACCAGCTGAAAGGTAGTTATCCTAATAACTAGAGAGGGAGGAAGGCAGAGAGCAGAGTGAGGCGAGGGTGATGACTCAAATTTATAAAACTCCTGGGGGCCAATTCGGCAAACTCTGCATTTCCTTGGGGTTTGGGGAGTGAGTGTTTATCTCTAAATAGATTTCCTTTTATAGTCAGAAACCTCCATTTCCCAACAGCTGGAGCTCAAAGACAGAGAGAATGACCTGCAGCTGTCAGCAGGGCCTGGGGGTGAAAGGCTGGGGGTGGGGTGGGGAGGGAATCAAGGCCTGGGAGGAGGGGAGTGATAGGAGAGGTGCTCAAACAGTCACAGTGGGGGTAGGGCAGAAGCCAGGGCTTCCATCTTAGTTTTCCTCCTTAACCTGTCCTGCCTCTTTGTCCTCTCCATGGTGTGTGAAGGCCTCCCTGCTTGTTAACTACATTGCATTAGGGGTCCTCTGACCTGCACAGACCCTCCTGGCTCTCAGGTTCAACTGGACAGAGTTCTTGGCAGTTGTCCAAATGGCTGAGTCTTGAAGTTCAGCATTTCCTTGTTGAAATCTCCCTTGGATACATCAGCCAATACCTCTTTGAGAGGACAGGGGAAGAGGAGGAGAAGGAAGGAACCTTAAACGTTGTCCTTTTTCGGGATGGGATGGCCTCCAGAAAACACTGAACAGTGTCCAAAACAGTGTCTAGACAGTCTGTCTTTCTGTCTCTCTCCTCTTTTTCACCCCTCCCCCCTTCCCTTTCCATCATAAAGCTTGGGGTAGTGAGCCCACCACTTAAGATCTTAAATCTAGAGCTGGAAGGAGATTTAAAAGTCTCGTTTGAAGATTTTTTTTTTAAACCACCAACCCGCCCCCCCTTCATTATTTTCATGGTATTAGGTGTTGTCCTTTGTTTTCTCTTAAGGGGTAAATATAATAGAAATTACTAATATCTAGGTGGGAATAAGTATATTAAATAGATCTCCCTGGACTGACTGTGCTGACAGTTGAAGAGAAGGTTTATGCTTTTGCCTAGGACACAGACCTCTTGGACTCCCCTAGATATCCTTTTGCTTCCCCCGGGGCAGTGCTGGCTGGAGATCCTGCTGGTTCTGGCTGCCTTTTCCTCTCTCCAAGTCCCTTATACAATGAGGTAGAATTACTGAGGGGTCAGTGTGTGACTGGAGACTTCAAGGATTTTGGGGGCAGGGTCCCCCCCTCAATCCAGAATTCTGGTAAAAAAAAAAAAAGAAGCCAAATTGTTCCCCCAAGAAAAAGAATTCCCTAACACCAGGGGGCAAACAGTGTCAAATCACCCACATACCAAGGAGGCACAGATGGCTTGAGAAAAAAGCTTTCCTAAAGAGGTGCCTGGTTCAGGAAGATACTGGTCATTGATTAATGAAAAGAGGGAAGCTAGCTTGCTCTGCCTTCTCGCCACAGTGCCAGGGAGCAGCCCAGAGACTTAAATAACAAAAGCCCAGAGAAACTGATGGAGGCTCCTGAGAATGATGTTAGCTGCCCTCTTTAGTCAGCTTCCATTTTTCAGTCAACTCCCAATGGAAGAGGATGGAGCAGATAAAGATAGCAAGTAATAATAGGTCACATTTCTATCACCCTCTAGAGTTTACAGACTGTGTACCTCACAACAACCTTGTAAGGTAGGTAAAAAGTATTCCCATTTTGCCGATGAACAAACAGACTTGGGGAGGTGACATGGCGAGGCTTGCTCAGAAAGGATCACATGGCTAGGGATTTGAACTCAGGTCTCCAGACTGCAGGTCCAGTGTCCCTTCCAGTACAGTAGTATATGCTGCTTCTCAATACCTGTCCCTTGATGATACCAAAACCACTTTTGTTGAGCTTTGGATTATATCACACAATTATTTCTTATTTGCCATCTTCATTCTTTCTGATTTGGGCCAATGCT